GCTGTGGTGGCTCAGGGGTTGAGCTGGCGTGGCTCAGGGGTTGAGCTGGTGTGGCTCAGTGTTTGAGCGTCGCCCTATGATCCAGGAGGTCACGGTTTGATTCCCTGTTAGGACACATGCCAGGGTTGCGGGCTTGATCCCTAGTGTGGAGTGTGCAGGAGGCAGTTGATCAGTGATTCTCTCATCATTGATGTTTCTGTCTCGCTCTACCTCTTCTTTCCTCTCTGACATCAATTAAAAAATAAATTTTTAAATGGTACACTACCATAGAGAATTGTTGTAAGAGTCAAATAAGTTAACATTTGTAAGGTGCTAGGAATGTCGCCTAACATCTCAGTGCTTAGTAAATGTCATCTATTGTTCTTTCTCCTCCCTCCCTCCCTCCCTCCTTCCCTCCCTCCTTTCTTTCTTTCTTTCTTTCTTTCTTTCTTTCTTTCTTTCTTTCTTTCTTTTCTTTCTTTCCTTTCTTTCGAGATGGGTTGTCCAGGGATTGAACCCGAAACCTAGGTATGTGCCCTGACCAGGAATCGAACCTGAGACCTTTCAATGTCTGGTACTTTTCAACTTTTCAACTGAGCCACACCAGCCAGGTCTATTGTTCTTTCTTAAGAGCCCATTAAGATCCTGTTCTCCAACTCACTTCCTCCTCTCTACCATAAGGCTGGGGAGAAGGTATGATTTTTCTTAAACATTTGCATCAGCTATGATTCATTTCCGTTTCCCTTATAGTCAAGGTTTCCAGATGTGGAAAGGCTGGAAATACACTGCTTTTCTCTCTCTGGTTTTGGCTTCGTACATACCCTCCTGAGGCAAAGAACTCTTGGCTGCATAAGGGGGGGGAGGACAAATATTCCAAAACATTGTCTTGTACGGCACACAATTCTCAGTCTATAGATGTAAACTGATGAGTAAATAGATGGAATGATGTTACATCATGGGCAATACTTAAATTTCTGGCATGAGTGACCATGTTGATTGTGGTGTCTTTCACTATGATAGGATTTATAGAAAGAAAACAACGTTTAGGGGTAAACATATGAGTTTATTTTGCCTATGAGTTTGTGGTTCTTATAGGAAATGGAGATATAGATAATCTATAGAAAGAGCATTTTATGGATTTAAACTCATCATCATCGCTGTATAATCTCAGGAGACAAATTAGAGCTGGATATACAAATTTAGGACTTTTTAGAAAATAAATGGTTGTTGAATGAAAGAGAGTATAAGAAATTATATAGAAAGGAGTTAGTTGAGTCAGAAAAGCCATTTCTGGATGGATGGATGGATGGATGGATGGATGGATGGGAAGAACCCACAAGGGTTACAGAATGAAGATTAGTCATGTCACACAATCCAGGGAAGTCAACAGAGTCAGATGTCAGAGAGAAATTAAGTAAGATAAACACTGAAAACTGTCCATTGGATAAGGCAACAGTGGGGTCATTTTTGCCTTGGCGAAAACAGGCTTGTAGATCTTACAAAGACAGAGGCAGATGATAATGTGTACAGCAAAACAGCACTTCTAGTACATTGTAGAAACATATTCAAGAAATAACCATTAGGTTTTTATGATCAGTTTAATTTGGTCTTAGGTTATTTCATATATGAGTTGGGGGTGAATAATGAATAGCAGCAGTTGGATCATTTTACCTAAATTGTTTTCTTAAGCTAACCAGTAAGCATGCTTTGTATTCTGACTTTGAAGTAATTAATACCAGTCCAGTATTGCATACTTATGACACCTTCCCCAGTGAATTGCTTGCTTTCAAGAACCCTTCATTAGTGTTGGTTTGATCTGACCGCATTTACTGGATTCCTCTCAATAGTATACAATGCGGAAGGGTATTATTTATGCATTCAACAAATATTTATTGTGCCTTGCTTTATGCTAGGCACTATTCTAGGTGTTTGGGCTATATCAGAGAGTACAACAGGTAAAAATCTTTCGCAATAGCATTTATATTTCAGATATATATACTTATAGAAAGTGATTTAAATTATTTTTAAATATGGCCATGAAACTGATGGTAGAATGACATCCATAACACAAAATGATACATATCAAAGATTGAATTAGAAAGTTTTAATTCCTGGTTCTGCTACTTGGTTGTTCCAGTCTTAGTAGTCAATAACTATGTTGTATACCTGATGCTAATAGAATTGTATGTCAATTGTAATTGAAAAATAAATTTTAAAAACTTTAAAAGAAAGTAAGAGATCAACTGAAGGACTTGTATGCATGCATATAAGCATAACCAATGGATGCAAGACATTGGGGGAGTGAGGGAGTTGAGGGCATGTGCTGGGGGAGGGGAGGCCAGGGGAAGGTCAGTGGGGGGAAAAAAGGAGACATATGCACTACTATTTGTAATACTTTAAACAATAAAATAAAGTTTAAAAAAAGTT